CAGGGCTAGGTGTAATTTCCTCTTTCTAGATTTCCACTTTGCAAAATATAGTTGGGCTCATAGATATATTTTCTCTTGGCCCATATGTTCCTTCTAATTATTTTAAAAGTATTTGGACTTGGGGGTTACTTTATTTTTATTGGCATTGATTTTTCTTTTTGAGTCTTTACAAATGCTTATTTGAGTTAATTCATGTGCTTGGTTGAACACGTCCGCAAATTGTCCAACTCAGTTCTTCATCTTTCATATGTTAATTATGAGATATATTTCTTTGAAAAACCTAGCATAAGATCGTGCTCCGCGCATGAAGCTAGTACAAAAAACCTAGCATAAGAACGTACTCCGCGCATGGAGCTAGTACGAAAAACCTAGCATAAGGTCGTGATGCGCACATGCAGCTAGTACAAAAAATCTAGCAAAAGGCAATGCTCTGCGCATGCAGCTAGTACACTTATCTATTGTAGGGCCCTGAGCCACTACACCTCAAAATAAAGTAATGTGTCAAGCTCGAGATCGGGCTACAAACTGTAAAGCTCGAGCTACTTGCCTGAAAATATGGCCAAGTACACAACTCGAGCCCCACCAATAAAGTCCCGAGCTACTTGCATGAAAATATGGCCAAGTACAAAGCTCGAGCCCCACCAACAAAGCCTCGAGCTACTTGCCTGAAAATATGGCCAAGTACACAGCTCAAGCTCTACCAACAAAGTCTCGAGCTACTTGCCTGAAAATATGGCCTCGTAACACCTCTCGAACACCTCCAACAGGACTCGAGCTACTTGGCCTACAATCAGCCAAGTAACACGTCTCGAGCTCATTACAAACCAGGACTCCAGCTACCTGGCCATAACGGCCTAGTAACACGGCTCAAAGCTCCTTCAACATAACTCGAGCTACTTGGCCTACAATCAGTCAAGTAACACGTCTCGAGCTCATTACAAACCAAAACTGGAGCTACCTGGCCATAATTGGCCTTGTAACACGTCTCGAGCTCTTTCCACATGAACTCAATCTACTTGGCAAAACTCAAACTACTTATTTAATGCAAAACT